TAAGCTTGGAGTACTTACAAACAGAAAGGTGAGAACACATCAGTTGTTAAACAAAAATAAAGACTCCACAGTGGTTGTGCTACTACTAATATAAATTAGACAAGTATTTCCTCAGACCTCATTTGTTTTACCAGCACTACAGCACCCTGCAAACTCTATTGGGTGAATGGTTTCAGAGAGATCAAACGACGCGTTGTACTATTACTTCTACGTGTGTATTTTCAGGAAGTGAATGAACAAGTTGGTTGTAGTTTTGTCCCTGGACCTCAGGGGGTGAGGGGGAGAAGAAAGAAAAAGAAAAAAGAAAACCAAAGCAGCATCAGCTCCTTTGCTCACATGACGGTGTGTAAACCACAAGCTCAAAACACTGTAACCTAAACTCACGGAAGAGATAGCAGACTGAAAGACGTAGCTGGTTTCAAGTAACTGTGAGGGATGACCTCAGCCCCCTTTCTGCGCATCCAACTGCCAAATCTCTCCTAGCTTCTCCTTAGCTGAGATCACAGCTTTTTCCATTGCAAATCTGGGAACATCAAGAACAGGGTATGACGGCCTGAAATAAATGGAATACAAACAGAAGGGGCTCGTGTAGTGATTGTGTTATTCATTTGTACATTTAATGAAAAACTCCATTTGTTCAGTCATAACTGCTGAAGAATGACAGACTGCCACAAAACCCAGAACATCCACCCCGATCGCCACAGAATACACTGGATCGCCTCCAGAGGCTCTGCCAGCATGATGCTGACTTGTAAGAAACACTGTTCAAATCTGCACATACGTAAAATTTTTGCTTAGCAAAGAACTGGCTAGTTCAGGTTTCTGGGATCTTAGTTTAAACTATTTTCCCAATATTAAACTGTTTTTTTTTGGTTTTGGGTTTTTTTTTCCCCAAAGAAAAAGAGAAAACCAGCAAGAAATTATATGGCAACAGATTCAAGGTGTGGTTTGCTTAAGTTAATGACAGGTATGTGGAAAGGTAATTATATTACATTTCAGTCCACTGCAAACAGTAAAAATGTCAAAGGTCCCAAAATTCAGTCTGAATAAGATATATTACTAAAACCACCACCCCTATCCTAACAGGCTAAGACACTGCACCTAACAAAATTACCCACCCGATTATTAAAGAAACAGCAACGTTACTAAGAACAGCTCACTAAATATACAGAACTACATTATCTAGGTAGAGTTTATTGCAAAACCAGGAAAGAGACAGCAAACTAGAAGTCTCTCTTCCATTTCAGATTTGTATCACTTGTTCAAGTTTCAATCACTCAGGCGCACGCACGCGCACACGCAGCCTGTACACAGAAAGTCGCTAACACAGTTGAGTTCCCACAGTCTCACAAGAAACCTTAAAACATTTCAGTAAAAAGTTTAAATGAGATCTTTTACCACAAGGACTATAAAATCCCC